TTTTTAAACATTCTATGACAATTTCAATTTTATATCAAGTAATATCAATAGATTTTACTCCATTCGCTTTTTTGAGTTTTTTAAATGCATCTAGTTGGCTTTTGTATGTAGGACTAGATCAACTACTCCTGTATTAGGAGTAGGTATACTGAACTCAAACAACATACGACAGTTTTAACTGAAAATTTTTAGTTTATGTTATCAAAATAATTAACCAATTGTGTTTAGCAACAATAATGACTACACAAACAATATTACATATTAAGTCCTAAACAGTGGAATTATACAAGATGAAAGGAGATCAAAAAAGTCCAAACATTCTATTATTATATGGTGTTACTGCAGTGCAATGTACATAATGAAATGTTACATTATCAAATTATGCTAAAAAGGCATCTCAGTTACAACTCAGCTCAACTCTGCCATATATAATTTTAAAATATGCATGAATATATAGAAACCTCCAAACAATGGCCTTAGATAAGCTAAACAAACATGATATATAATCTAATTATTTGTCTAGTTATTTTCCTTCTCTGTAATATAGCCTTTGAGAAACCTAAAAATGTCATTTATAGGAAATTATAACTGGTATACAGATATTCTGTCTCCCACTTACTAAGTGATATTTGATATTGAGCTAATTAGAAATGCTGTTGGTGACACTATATATTCTCCAAACTCTAGCCAATGAATGAATCCCCATAGATATACTTTGGCCTTTTTGAAAAGCCAATTGTCTATTTTTTCCCCGTTTACCCAATTTAAGTACCATTTTCAAGCAGTTGGTTTCAGCACCAAATCAAAACTGGCTACATCTGAAACACACCCATATTGGCACAAAAATAGCCTTTTCAGCAATATTTTGTTTCAAATAATAATGGAGGTGAATACCTGGAATGACAGAATATTGAATTCGTAAGAATCAACAATAATTGGGGATTGTTATTTTTGAAAAACCTGGCTGCTCTTTTTTTGCTTGTAAAATTCATATAGCATTATAGACAGGATGATGGTGATGTCCTTTAAATTGCTTTCCGTGGTGGCCATCTGCACATGGCAAAGTGTTTGTGTGTCCTGATATACCACCTACAACAAGCTATTTCTCAACTTTATTTAAAGGCCCACTGAGGAAATAATGCAGACCATGAGTATGATTAGTTCTGCTCAAAAATAGTTATCACAGGAACAACATAGTGAGGTTTATTATGCACAGCAGCCTTTAGTTTTCCTATTTTGTTTTACCTCTTGAATTGAACAGATATGAAATTCAAACTAGGGCAAATGGTCAATAAAGAAAGTATTTGGCAAATGGAGAAACCTACATATTTCTTTTAAAATAATTTTCCTCACATAGCATCAAATTATTTCCAGTTGAGAATGCCAATTTATTTTTTTATTTTGTTAAAGACACCTGTTGACTTAATGCAATAACAGCTTCATAACCTCAAAAAAACTCATGATTTTCCATATTTTAACGTTTCAGCATAAAGCAATTATATTTTGACTTTTGTATTGTCAGCACAGGTGAGTTTATCTTAAATTACCAACATGTATGGAAGAAAGAAAGAAAGAACTGTATCTACAAATGACATAGTTGTATACTTTAAGTGAAGATACACAATAGAGCAGGGATTTCAAACTCATGGTCCGCGGGCCGGATGCGTCATGTGCTGGCCATGGCCACCCCCAGTTTAGCAAAGAGAAAAAAAGTCCCGATATATCACATGACGATGTGAGTTTGACACCTCTGCTATAGAGTGTCAGCAAAGGGAAGAAACATAGAAACATAATCTGTAATTATGTATGCACTGAAATGATGTTAATTGCATTACTTTTAATGATTTAATTTTGCTGTATTAGCTTCCTTGATTGGCAACACAGTAAAATTTAAAAGCTAATTCTTCTGCATCAATTTTCTATTTGCATTATAGATAACAAATTGTTAACTGGCAAAGCAGTTAACAAAGGCAGTGGAGACACTAATCTCTGGACATTAGTTCAAATGCAAAAAATAACAACAACATTTTTTTTTTTAATTTGACTTATATGCCGCCCTTCTCCGGAGACTCAGGGCGGCTTACAATGTGCTCAGCAATAGCCTTCATTCCTTTGTATATTTATACAAAGTCAGCTTATTGCCCCCACAACTGAGTCCTCAATTTACCTGCCTTAGAAAGGATGGAAGGCTGAGTCAACCTTGAGCCTTGGCGAGATTCGAACCTGCAGTAATTGCAGGCAGCTGGTCTTAATAACCAGCTTAATAACAGGGTGCCTTAGACCACTGTACTACCAAGGCTCTTTTGGGTAAATTCCCTATTGAAACACTCTGATTATATTTTAAACAAATATCTCTGAGTGCAGAGATAATGGGGAAGACTCTTGCAGTAGATCCCTTGAAACACACCTATGCTATGAGATCACCCATAGAAATACCAACCCAGAAACAAGAAGAGGGACTTCACAAACATTGTAACATCTTTCTCAACCTTTCCCATCCCCCAAAACTGTACTCTAAAGTGACTAAGACTATACATGTATTGGTGTGGACTTAAAACTTAAAGCTTAGAATTTATAAATTGGTATTCGATATCAAACTATTAATTGCTATATTGCACATTATTCCATGATTAATTTCCTCCATACACTAAACCAGTGGAAATTGTCCTAGAGTCATCTTCTATCTTGAAACATATTGTCTGTTGTGTGACTTTTCCACAGAATACCCTGATCCTTATACATCAATCCAAATGAGGGCTGAGAAGAGGTGAATTGTTACAACTTAACTTGTCCACTATAGGCAGCACTAGAGTCATATCCACACATCCCCTAGCTATCTGTATCAAGCTTTTCAATTCTGTCCAGTCAAGAAAGTTAGGTTCCATTGAATTCAACTTAATATAGCAGTCCTCACCCCCAGTCCGTGGCCCATTACTGGGCTGCAGCCCAATGGGACCCGGACATGCAAGTGGCAGGAAGGAAGTGCATGAAGCTCCATTTGTGTAAGCAGCTATCCTCTCTCCCTTCACTCCACCCCCATCGGTCCATGGAGTTGGAAAGATTGGGGACCACTGACTTAATGGATCTATAATAGGTTAGATCCTTTTAGGATTTGGGGCAAGAACTGACAGAGAAAGTTTTTATCACTCTGTCTAGCATGCAATTCTATAATATATATAAAATAAATATTAGAATAGGTTATCTTAGATAATGAGCCAAAATGTTTTAAAAATAAACGGGGTGGGGGGGGTCAAAAGAGGTGCACACATCACATAGCAATCTTTGTTCCCTCAGTATTTTTTAGCTGCTTTCCTCTTCCTTTTCCCTAGAAGCTACTAAGCTTAAGAGCCGCGGCAGTGCGGTGGTTAGAATGCAGTACTGCAGGCTGCGTCTGCTGATCACCGGTTGCCAGCAGTTTGGCAGTTCAGGTCTCACTGGCTCAACCTTTCATCCTTCCAAGGTTGGTAAAATGAGGACCCAGATTGTGGGGGGCAATATGGTGACTCTGTAAACTGCTTAGAGAGGGCTGTAAAGCACTGTGAAGCTGTATATAAGTCTAAGTGCTATTGTTATTGCTACTACCCCAATTTTGCACAAAAGATCTCCCCTTTATATAATGTAATATTATTGGATGAAGTCATTTTATCTAAGAAATACATTTCAAGTTTCTGAATATGGCATATTTATTATTTATTTAAATACTGAAGTCCCAATTTTCCAATAATGTGTGTATGTTGAAAAGATTAAATCTTGGTCTAGATTAGAGTCCCTCTCCTAGCAGCTACCTAGGTGCTGCTGCTACCTACCTGCTGCTCATAAACAAATTAAGATTTTTTTTTAATAATCCCTTCTTCCTCAATAGCCACCTTTGTTATTTCCTAATAGGATTGTATAGAGTATTTTTAAAAAGTGTGATTCACATTACTGTTGGTAAAGCATCTCTCCTCAACATAACTGAAATCCAGTGTAGTATAGTGTTCTGGTGTTGCACTAGCAGTGGTACCCATTTACCCCCATTAATAGGAATTCACTGGGAGCCTTTGGATCAGCCACCAGCCCAACCTAGGGACAAACATTTGTTCCTTAAATATGAATTAATACATACTATTATTTGATATTTATTTGTTATATTTATATCCCATCTTTCCTTTAGGAGCCCCAGATTGATTCACAAAATAACACTGTTACAAGATCTAAAACGATGCTTTCATTTTCACTGTTTATTTATTTAATTTATATCCCTTTTTAATTTTTTTGTTAAATAACTCAATGGGGTGAATATACTTAATACTCCTTCTTCTTATTATTTTACCCACAACAACCCTATGAGTGGGTTGGGCTGAAAGAGAGTGACTAGTTAGCTTCAAGTCATACAAGATGAGTAAAATTATAAAGATGAGTTAATAATAGTATCAGAATTGGAACAGATCAGTAAGAGACTGTAATATTGACAAACACCAGGGAAACATTTTTGGGCATTCTTCTCACACCATTCTTAGAGCCTTTATAAATGGAAATGCTTTGAATATTTAAAAAGAAATAGATAATTTTAAATACAACTTTATACTTATGTGGAACTAAGATACTTTTTCAATTACATGTAAAGATACTTCTTTAAGTACATTATCATCCTGTAAATGGTTTATGAAGTCTAAGTCATTAAGAACCTTTAAATGTATGACTTAAGGAATAAATCTTCGTTAGAAGATTGACCAATCCACTAATTTTAGAATATTTAAACTGTTTAAAGTTGACATTTAGGAGTACTCCAAACAAAAATATTTAATCATTAAAAATATTTAAAACAAAAATTATCTTCCTTTGCCCTAAATGAAAGAAAAATATTGTTTCATTCCCCCAAAGAATTATTCCAGTTTTAAAGAAAACTAGAGTTGCCACAATTGCACTCAACAATTCCAAGGCGTCTTCATTTGACCACTTGAAAATCAAACTTCTCTAAGGTTATAAATATAACTTCTTAAATCTTTTTTATTACATACTGTGTAAGGGGAAAGGGGTCCAATCTTGTGGCCGTAGCGTCGAATGGCCTCTCTGATGTGGGCAGGCTGGATGGCATCACTCTGGGCTTCTGCACAAGCTGCAGTACTCTGCAGCAACAACATCAACAACAACAAAGCACATTCATTGTTATTAAGACGAAAACATAATACAAGCACACACTGTGAATTAATTAACAAAATTGACCTTTGTAGAATTTGCTTATTTCTTTTGAAGAGACAATCATAGTCACACCATTCACATTGAAATAAAACTAAACTTCCATAAACAGAGCAAAAAGGAAATTTATCCTAGAAGATAAAATTTACTTATACAATACAGGAAGAATAGGAAGAATAGGATTTTCCTAGGGCGGGGGGTGTTGGAAGCAACCAACATTAAAACCTTAAGTCCACAGAGAATTTAAGAGGAACCTTTGTGCCTCAACTGGGGCTTAGAATGGGATCACCAGATTGACCACTTCTGATATTACTAAAAGCCGAGCTTTTTCTTTAGGTCAAGAAAATAAAAGCATTCATTGTTTGGTATGATTAACTCTAGCAAAATTCTTCTGATTTTCCTAAAGGGTAGTCTTTTATTTCCCCTACATGCAATTTTGTAAAAATTATACATGTGAAGCTTTCTTAGTAAGTCAAGTGATACCAGTGCTTAGATTTGCCACTTTACTCATATTATGTGATTCAGTGTGTAAAGTGGATTTGCAATGCTTTCTATGATTGCTGAAATGCCCAATGTGTGATGAGAAAATCTTTTCTAATAGTGCTAGGGATTCCTAGCTAAATGAGATCTCAAATGAGATCTCAATTTGTGCTTGCAGTAGTGCTGCCACAAAAATCTCTCCCTCCCTCCCTCTCTCTCTCTCTCTTTCTCTCTCTCTCTCTCTCTCTCTCTCTCTCTCTGTGTGTGTGTGTGTATGTTCTGACAGATGGCCTAATTTATGTTTGCATCTATAATATCACATTATATACCTATGGTGCCAAGCTAACATACATTTATTCTGCTCAAAGACTACTACCATTTTCCAGAAGAGGCTTTGTTGAGCAATATTTACTATCAGACACAGACTACTTATCTATGATTCTGGCATTTACATAGTACAGATAATCCTCGATTTACAACAGTTTGTTAACCACCGTCCAAAGTTACAACAGCAATGGAAAAAGTGACTTATGACTGTTTTTCACACTTACGACCATTACAGCATCCCCCAGGTCAAGCGATCAAAATTCACTTGGCAACTAACTCTTATTTATGATGATGGAAGTGCCCCTGGGTCATGCATTCATCTTTTGTGACCTTCTGACAAGCAAAGTCAAATGGGAAGACAGATTCACTTAACAACCATATTAGAAACTTAACTGCAATGATTTACTTAAAAACTGTTGCAAGAAATGTTGTACAATGGGGCAAAATTCACTTAACCGTCTCGCTTAGCAACATAAATTTTGGGTTCAATTTTGGACATAAGTCAAGGACTACCTGTATTTCAATTTCAATCAACATTTTTCTCAGGCTAGAAATGTTGAGAAATCATTTCTAACAATCCAAAACTTATTTCATTTATTAATCTTATTTATTTTATTTATACGTTCATGTATTATTTTGTTATCATTTTAAATCTTAATTTAGGCTAATTTTACATTTGAATGTAAAATTAGTCTAAACTGAGATTTAAAATAATAACAATACATGAAGGGGTAAATTTGAATGACTAGAAGTTTTTTAATGGATTTGGAAAAATATAATCTATCCAAAATGAATCTTCATGGGAAAATTATTCCAAAATTGCAGTATAATAAGGAAATTGATCTCGTTGGAGCATAGTCACAAGATCACCTAAAATGGCTGTCAGATCTCATATAAACAAATTGTAACTTCCAAAGCAACTTAAATTTCCATATGCATTCCATTCCAATTTCCATTTGGCAACATATATTTGGCAGCACAAAAATGAAACATGCTGGGGATTAATTGATTGATTGGTTTTTAATCAAATGCCAACAGCTTTGGGTAGCTTACAAACAGTTAGCAACAGAAAGAAGGCAAACATTAAAAGACAAGCATGATAAAGAAGAAAAGGAGAATTATAAACTTTCCATTGTCATTAGCTGAGCCTCACATAATCCTACTCTATGCCTTAGTTTCATAGTTTTTCTTTATTTGATTCATATTCCACCTTTCTATTCAGACTAGATTCCCAAGGCAACTTATATCTCAAAACAATCACACACAAAGATAAAAATTATTATACTTCAATGAAACAGGAATGTGTAGCTACCTGGATTCAAAGGAGAAATATGTTTCAGAGGGGACACTGATGTCCTAGCTATACCTGTCAGTATCTCCATAAAAGAAGGCAGAAATTGAAGGGAGGAAGTATCTGATAAGCAGGTCATCTTCAGAAGGACCTTTCCTTTAGGTCTTATGATTCCGACAGATCCTTAACAGTTACTCCCAAGCATCATACTGAGTGTCTGACTAGATGATCTGCAAATCTCTTCAATACTTGTTTATTAGATTTCACCTGACACTTAAGCATACTGAAAGACCTGCACACTGTACAGATAAGCTTTTCCGGAGGACAGAATACACATTTGGAGGAGCTGAAATATTTGATTGTCTCCTTTGTTTTAACTTACTTTCTTTTTCTTTCGCTGTTTGACTTTGGAAGTATCTTGTCCAGTGCTGCCATTCCCCATGGTCCCAGACTGAATTTTCCCAAGATACTGCAGGCCTATTGATGGCAGGGTGGGTGTTGGTGGTGGAGTATTATCAGGTGAGTCTGGATTACTTTTCATACTTGCAGCCTGCCCTAAAATATGCATCTAAAAAAGATAAAATTATTCCTTCACCTATTTTCTCTGAATGCATATGCCAATCGGTTCCATGTTTTAATGGTAGAAGATGAACATGATCAGAAACTGAAGCATTCCAACAATTGCAACATTTTTTTCTGGAGTTGTTCCTTCCCAACCCTCCCTACCTCCAAAATCCAGAAGGATCCAGTAAAGATAAGTTTCTGTGCTTCATAGAGATTATACTTGATTAAGTTTCACTGCTGAATCCAAATGTATTCTAATATATATCCTAAATCATACAATTTATCCAAATCTTTCTGGTGGAAGTCTAACAGTACTCAATATATACAATTGTATTCCATAAATATATTTTCAGAAGATGTTCACTATCCCTCCAACCAGGTCTTCCATTTCTAAGATAAAATGGCAACCATAAGTAAATGTAGGCATCGACTCTAGGAGATTACTGTATTATAGCAAATAATAATAATAATTTCACTATTTTTATAATATTATAATAATAATTGGAACATCTTACATCCTGTGATGATATCTATAACATCACAAAACGTTAGCATCTGCCTATTCCAGGTCTTTGGGAAGTACTCGATAGATGGGACAAAAATGCCAAATACAGTATGAACATCTGGTTCATTATGTAATGAACCATAATTTTATTTTTGAAAAAACTCTGCTTTGGGACTATCTATATCTAGAGAAATTGCCTTAATAATTCTTAGGTCCTTGATTAGGATCTCTATTATTACATTTTCACCAGTCTTTGACTGTAAACCTACTTACAGATTACCCATATAACAATAATAGTTTTAAAAGAAGTTGCATGGTTTGATTTTTCTTCTCAATCTATTGCAAGAGATTCCTTTGCAATAAAATAAGTGTCAGTCTTTGAGGTATATCAATTCTGAAACTAAAGTTGTGAATGCTAATACAAGTTTTATTATAAAGTTATAGTAACAGAATCTTGCAAGACTGAATGTGCTCCTCACCCCCAAACACACACACTTTATCTATTTGAGAACTAGAGGTCATGTCTAAGATAGTTTCTCAGGTTAAATGGCTGCAGTTTCTTCCTTCTGTTCCTCAAGGCTATTTCTAGCTCCCTTTACAGTAGGCATTAGCCACATATAGCCCTGACACTTCGTATTTCTATGTACAAGTACTAGAGTGGGCCCAGGAGGAAGAAAAAAAATGCTCACCTCTGCAAAGGAGCGATTAAATAAATGTTTTAGCATATATAGTTAGTTCCAATAGAAGAGAATATCTGCAGTTGAGGGCTGAACTGCGGAGTCCTTAGTGTCTCTGAGCTTAATTGTTTGTTTGCAGACATTTCATTTCCTGACTAGGTAACGTCATCAGTTAATTCCTCTCTATAGGTTCATCTATATGCAGAAAGGTGTGGTGGGCGCCTTTTCAGGAAAAGTGATTTAGACCCCTTAGAGCTTCCATAAAAATTCCTATTGAAATTTAAGTCCTTGTGATGAAACATAAAGCAAATCAATAAATTATACACTATATTCTGTAAGCTCCTGGAGCACCCGGGAACTGCCAGAGGACTGGAAAAGAGCTAATGTAGTTCCCATATTCAAAAAAGGAAAAAAAATAGATCCAGGAAACTACAGACCCATCAGCCTGACCTCAATACCAAGGAAGATTCTGGAAAAGATAATCAAGCAACGAATCAGCAAACACCTAGAAGCAAACAAAGTAATAACCAAAAGCCAACATGGGTTTGTCAAAAACAGATCATGCCAGACTAATCTTATTGCATTCTTTGACAAAGTGACAAAACTAGTAGACCAGAGAAATGCTGTCGATATAATTTACTTGGACTTCAGTAAGACATTTGACAAAGTAGACCATAACCTACTACTTGATAAAATAGAAAAATGTGGGTTAGACAGCATCACCACCAGATGGATTCATAACTGGCTGACCAAACACACTCAATGTGTAGTCCTCAATGGAACTGCATCTACATGGAGGGAAGTATGCAGTGGGGTACCCCAAAGCTCTGTTTTAGGCCCAGTACTCTTCAACATCTTCATCAATGATTTGGACGAGGGGATAGATGGGGAACTCATCAAATTTGCAGATGACACCAAGCTAGCAGGAATAGCCAACACTCCGGAAGATAGGCTTAAGATACAGAAGGATCTTGACAGACTTGAACATTGGGCTCTATCTAACAAAATGAAATTCAATGGTGAAAAAAGGAAGGTTCTGCATTTAGGCAAGAAAAACAAAATGCACAGGTACAGTATATGCGGTACCTTGCTCAATAGTGGTGACTGTGAGAGGGATCTTGGAGTCCTAGTGGACAATCACTTAAATATGAGCCAGCAGTGTGCTGCAGCTGCCAAAAAAGCCAACACAGTTCTAGGCTGCATAAACAGAGGGATAGAATCAAGATCACGTGAAGTGTTAATAACACTTTAAAATGCCTTGGTAAGGCCACACTTGGAATACTGCATCCAATTTTGGTTGCTACGATGTAGAAAAGATGTTGAGACTCTAGAAAGAGTGCAGCAAAGAGCAACAAAGATGATTAGGGGACTCAAGAATAAAATGTATAAAGAACGGTTGCTGGAACTGGATATGTCTAGTCTTATGAAAAGAAAGACTAGGGGTGACATGATAGCAGTGTTCCGATATCTCAGGGGTTTCCATAAGGAAGAGGGAGTCAAACTATTCTCCAAAGCACCTGAGGGTAGAAGAAGAAGCAATGGGTGGAAACTAATCAAGGAGAGAAGCAACTTAGAACTAAGGAGAAATTTCCTGACAGTTAGAACAATTAATCAGTGGAACAACTTGCCTCCAGAAGTTGTAAATGCTCCAACACTGGAAGTTTTTAAGAAGAGATTAGATAACCATTTGTCTGAAGTGGTGTAGGGTTTCCTGCCTGAGCAGGAGGTTGGACTAGAAGACCTCCAAGGTCCGTTCCAACTTTGTTAAATTATTAATTATTAGCTATAAACTTTAAGGTCATATTTACCTCAGAATGGTGATGCTGAATAAAAGTAGCAGATATTGCATGACTAAAAGGGTCACCAGTTTTCGGTATCATATCCTGCTTGACCAAAAGGGCCAAGTCCACCAACTAAGGAAAAAATGACAATTTAAAAATGAACAGAAGGAAATCTTAACTTGATTGGCTATTAATAAGTATAGGATGCACTGAAAAAGGGTGAATTTTTAAAAATGTTTTGATATCAATTTAGTCCTAAAGTATTAGAGGCATGCGCTTTTTCTTTCTTTCTATGAGGATAGTATCATTCCATATTCATTTGCAATATGGTCATGCAAAATGTCTGCACGCCCACCATCCAGCATATGGAACAGCCAGTTTTCGGTAGTCAATTATCTAGACTAAACCATGCATGAGCCTGAAGCAAGCATGTTTTCAGCAGAACTATTTCAAAGTTGAATGAACAGGAGAAAAACAAGGCCAATCAGTGGAGGTAAGGCATTTAAAAACAGGAGGTGCAATGGGCAAGGTGATTGGATATTCCATCCTTGAATTTAAGGGAGTGGCATTTGGAGGCTAAGGAGAGGTGGGGAACAAAAGTATAGGGAAGATCTTGCTAGGCTGGTTGAGTCCATTGTGGCTGCTGTCCATAATCGCCATCAAATTCAAATGTAACTAAATGGTATCTTCCCCTAAAATCATCAGAAATAAAAATATTTTCTCATTACCTGTGCTACCGTCTCATATGCTAAATAAGCCAGCATTTCCATAGCACTTGCATTTGGTTTTATTTCCATGCTACTACAGTCCAACCAGTCTCGAAATTTGGAGGCTTTTTTAGCTGTATTGGAAAAAAAATAAAATATTAAGAAATCTTCTGATTTCTACTGTTTCTTATGAAGAGTAAGACATTGTAACCTCTGATATAAGTGATGTAACTCAGGATTCTGAGTTCACTAACAAGTAAGTATGTATGTATGTAGGTAGGTGGGGAATACCTACCTACCTACCTACCTACCTACATACATACATACATACTTACTAAGACATTGTAACCTCTGATGTAAGTGATGTAACTCAGGATTCTGAGTTCACTAACAAGTAAGTATGTATGTATGTAGGTAGGTAGGTAGGTAGGTATTCCCCACCTTTATTATTGTTACAAATAACTTAAGGCAGCAAACATATCTAACACATGTTCCTCCTCCTATTTTCCCCACAACCACCACCTTGTGAGGTGAGTTGGGCTGAGAGTGACTGGCTTAAGGTCACCCAGCTGAGTTTCATGGCTTAAGGCAGGAACAAATGTTTCAGCGAGAGAGCCAATCATCATCATCATCATCATCATCATCATCATCATCATCATCATCATCATGTCCTGTGTTAAGCACATTGGGCTACAAGCATACTCCACAATTTTTGATCCACAGCTATAGTCTCTGCATCCTTCCATTTAAGGTTGATGTTTTTCAGATCTTCCTGAAATGTTTGACACCAGGATTGCTTTGACTTTCCTCTTTTTCCTTTGACCACCTGGTGGCATCCAATTTATTGTGGTTTTTGCTCGACATTGCTCACTCATGTGGAATACATGTCAGGCAAAGAGCATTCTCCGTTCTGTCACTATCTCAGAGAGTCTTCAGGAATTACTTCTTTGTAAAATTTCCTTGTTTGAGACATGGTCCCAATACGAGATATGGAGAATCATTCTGAGACAACATTGTTGGAAGACATTGATTTTATGAATAATTCTTCTTGTAGATTTCTCAATCTCACTGGCATAGATGGCAGTTGGTATGACAATGGAATTAAATAATCTGATCTTTGTTGCTAGCAAAGAAACTAGCAGTTTTAGGCAGCCAAAGAACTACTTTGTTAACACTGTAGTCTCCCGGGCTAATATACCATCGTTTTATGCTAAATAAATAATAACTGTCCATTTGGATAAATGGATATTATATTAAAAGAAATGAAAGCTTCCCTATGCTTTAAAATATATTTTAAATATGTTTCTTTTCTTTTTCTTTTTTTAAAAGGTCATTCTGGCATGTTGAAAACAGAAGTGTAAACATCATTTACAAAGCATACTGATAAGATCCTACATTTATATAGTTTTCAATTCAGAGGGCAGGTGATGTGAGTCTCCTACATTGATTACAAGTTGACTTTTGGGGCAGTGGGAGCACCGGTGAATGTGGAATTATTTTATTCCATATTCCATGTTGTCACTTATTTCTGAATATAATTTATATCAATATCTGATCAATATTTTGATTTATTTCAAAATGCATTTCATTCTTTAACCAAGTCTGTGCAATATTCTCAAGTAAGCAGCTTTGAATTGGATATTTCAAAAACAGCTATTACTTTTATACTAGGTTTTCATTTCTGTGTGTATAGATGAATTCTACTAAGTAACTACAGTATCTCAGAAAACAATATGTATTTATATAAGTGTTTTTCCAAGTTCAAATTTTTGATACTATTGTCTGAAAGAAATATATAATCAAGGTGTATCCTTGATTATAATTAAAAGGTGCAAAATGTGAGGTTATCACATTTTAAGATGAAGAGTTTTCACTTAACTATTTACAGATGCTTAAAATGAACTCAGAAAAAAGCAATGGAACAGCAAAAACACTACTTACAGACCAAACTTCTCTGCTATTTGACATTTACAGAAGACACAATTGTGGATGTGTCATTTATTCTTCACATTGTGATCCTCAAGTGAACCAGTCATTTCTCCAAATCAAATGCTTGTTATGGAAAAGTAGATAAGTGCCTTTCATTTAAAGATTTTGTGCTTTTGTGCTTTCATTTATCACTGGAACACACTGTGCTATTTTTTTGAGTTTTTTTATTACTCCTTCAGGGTGCTCTTTTTCTCTCTTTGACCTCTAAGCTCTTAGCATTATTTGTAGTTATTTTTTATTATTGTTTTGTGAAAAAGATCCTTAATAAAGTAACAGATAATTAAAGTTATGTTATTTGGAAATGTAGGGATATACATGGTATCTTTACCAGGTTAATTAATTAATTAAAAACTGGCTGTAGATTTAAAATTAATCCCAACATCAGTTGTACTTTTTCTTACTACTATTGAGCTCATTAATTTGCCATCACATTCTGTCCTTTTAAAGCAGATCCTTGAGTGATCCTGTCTTTATTATTTCTCTTTTTCCATACAGGGAAAATAGGGGGAAAACTCACAAAATTATTTCAGGTTTTGTCCTTGTTAAATATCAGGTGGCTAGGCAATCAATATCATGTGTAATCAATTTATACAATCATACTGTAGATGAACATGTACAAGAGATTAATACAAGAAGAAATCTTATGAAGGAACTCCCAAATTCATCCATAATGAGATTCACTGAACTTGAATGTACTCTCATATTCTCTTTAACAGCCTTATGTTTTGATGATGTGAATTCAGTGGGCGTACCAGACAAATTAAAAGCCTCTGGGGAAAAAAAAACAAAGACGGTGCCATTATTGCAAGTTAGGCACAAATGGCATTCTTTTCCTTGTTTTGGCACTAAATGTACTTGCTTTTTAACTACTACCAACTTGAAAAATACTACTTTCAAGAGTAAAAATTTTACACAATACTTACAAAAGCTCAACTGACGGCTTTCACTGAATTCTGCATATTGTGCTGAATCCATCACTCGTGCTTGTCTTTCTGCTCTCTGGAAAATGATATAAATGCATATATCACCCAAAACATTAATGCAACTAAATTAATGAAAAAAGTATTCATCTTGCTACATTTTAGTCTCTCCCAGTTTTTTCGGAAACTTTTTGCCTGCATATCTGGTGCCATTTTCCTCTTTAATTTATGCTTTTTATTCTCATTCTACTCAACTTGATTTGCTGATGCTGCCATCCAGTTTAATTCAATATACTGAGAACATTTATGGTTCCTTTTTGTAGATGCTATGACATTACCCTTTCAGATGTAACTTCAAAACAATGCAAATTAATATTGCTAACCAGATTAAACCAAGCCAATAAAGGAACAAGAAGGAAGAAATTGTTGATCAGAAGAACACTGCTCACAGAACAGCTAATTGAACACGAAATGAGTAGTTTCAACTCAGCACTAACTACATTCCACTTGGTTAAGATCAACAATGATGACAGATAATAATAATGAAAGATTAGTCTGATGTTCATTAAAACTTGGCAAAAATCCTATAGTTTTGAAAGGACAAACTAGAATATTTAATTTTGCTTCATTTTGTTCCTAGATAAAAAAAATACTGAAATAAGCTATATTGTACAGTATGTACTTATAGGCAGTATTTATTTATTCTGAGCAGCTAAATAAATAATTTATGTGGCATAGAGGCAATTGCTTTGCCCACTACTATCCCCTCTCGTTTCTGCCCCTTTGGTTTTCCCTGCACAGCATGAAGTATTCTGCTGCCATCACCTCCAGTGGACCTTCCTCTCTATTCTCCTTAGGGGCAATCATCGTGTTCTACCTTACTTCCACTAGTCTTGCCACCACCACTGAGGAGAGCTGTCTCAAGATCCATGGTGCAGCAAGCAGCCCCAAAGTTGCTTTACCATAAGGCCAAGGGAACCAAGCAGACAACATGTTCTCCTGTCCTACGTATGTACACAAGCCAGAAGAAATAGAAATTCACTCTCAAAAAGAAATACTCCTAGACCATAGGATTGGAGATTTTATGACTCAAAAGCCATGAAGAACATTCAGTATAAAATAAATGGGAACTGCTGTTATAATCACAAAAGTCAAAATGGTACTTGAGTTAATGAAATATTGCTAAACTGTAAATTTATTACAAATCCTAAAGGCCCTAAAATTATTTCATACTTGTAATTTGGCTGATTATGTCCTCTAAAATCCACATAAAATTTAATTAGAAAATGAAGCAGAAAGTATACAATGATATAAACCATCTTAAAAATTAGATACAGTCTGAGTCTTCAGCTGAAGCTAACAAAACTTTTGTAACACACTGATCGAAGCTGGGATAAACTGCAGATTTGGAAATAAAAAACAGATACCCAAGAAATTCTTGTTATCTTATTTAATCATGCATTTTAAAGCACACCCTTCTCTTCTATCCATTAATATGAATGAGTATGTAAGAGTAGCAGTTTTCGAAGTTATACTAAACATTATTGTGAATTTCCAACTTAACAAGAAAGTCTAATTTATACCAAAGGCGGGATTAGATTTCAACCTTAAAAGGGCCTCAAGAGGAAGTAATAATCACGTATTTTCTTCTTTCCCCTTCTACCTGAAAAAAATGTTTGTGGAATTTTCTATGAACTAGTCTTGAGCTAATCTATGAGGAACGTAGCAAGTTGCACAGACTTACTCAACCAGATGAGTTATATAAATGAGAGGCTCATACATATCTAGTCTTCTAAAGAAACAAATTTTTCTTAATTTTTCTTGTCATTCAGTCATCCACTCTTGGATTCATGAAATTATTTAGAATGCTGAGGTTGCCATGGAAATGTAGCTGTTTTTTGCCCAAACAGAAGTTTATTCTTTACATTAATGTAAAGTATGTGCATATGTGTGTTCACATGTATATGAATTTTGTTTATAATATGTTAATAATATTTTTATATATTATATTACATATTATATAATAATATATTTTATAATAGCAAAATAGTAAATGCTTTTTCCTTCCATTTTATGAATTTTGAGAAACAATATATTGGGGCAGCTGATCCTTTTGGATGTTTATTTAAACATGTTATGGTTATAGTTTTCCATAAATCTAAAAAAGGAACTACATCATGCTGTATGAATCAACATTCTCTTTTAAGTGTTGGATACTCATATAATCTTTATTATAAATAATAACTGTTTGACTGTCCCAAAGGTGCTTTTTCAAGAGGCAACTGGACTTTCTGGTTTTTCATTGAAGGCATTTCACTTCCCATCCAAGAAGCTTCTTCAGCTCTGGCTGGATGGTGGGGAATGGAAGAATTTATACTCCTTGCAGACAGCTGGTCATTTGCATTCTTTTAGGGAGTCGTTGAGGCCACCTGGAGGTTTACCTATATTGGTCAGGGTCACAGAGTAATGCAAATGGGTATGGAGCCTTCTTGGAACTGTTGAAAGGACTGTGTTGTAGACTAGAGATAGATGACCCCTCTCAACAGAGAGGGATATGACATCATCTATTTCATATCCCACCAGCCATATCAAGGAATAATTAGGAAGATTGGAATAATATGTTAATCTTACATTAATCTCAATTTCTTAATATGTAAAATTTCAATCCAAGAAGATTCCCTCAAGTAGGTATTTAACTGAAAATTTAAAATGCAACCTTACCAAAGTCTTTCAGTGTTGACCTAAATCACATCACAGAAATTTATGGAAATAAGCCTAGTGGAAGTTGGGCTTTCTAAGGGTATCTTAAAGACAAAGCTGAAGAACACCTATTCTGGAGTTTATTCAAGCATGAAAAGCAAAATAAAACACACTAAAATTTACACCACCTAAATCAAGGAAAAAATGGCAAGATTTTTGTATATTCCATTAATTATACATTTATTTCTCTCCCAAATAAATGTTTAAAACTACCTATTATGCAGCATTAAATTAAAATTCTGAAAACAATCAAGGGATTCAGTCTTTCAAATTCATAAATTTGAAAGACTGAATCAAGCAAAAGTTTGCACAGCCTTCATGCTATACTGTTTCACATAGTTTCAAATACTGGTATAACAACACAATTATTCTGATGTTTATCCTAGAGTGCAAGAGAGAGTCCAATGGGATGGAAAGGAAAAACGAATGCAAAGAACATCAACTGTATGTGGATTCATTAGCTTGAGCTTTACTGATAATTTATCCTGTTTCCTAATGAAAGCAAAAAACCTCCCCCCAAAACCCACCATGTCTCTATTAAAAAGCAATCAGATTTGGTATATTGGTGACACTTTAAAGAGCACATTATGTGGGAAAACAAAATAAACATTTACCCTGGCAAATGAAAGTAGGCTTGGGGTTTTGACATGCTTGGCAGGCACGCAGAATTATATTCACATCAAGCACACAGAAAACCTAATTTAATATTTAAATATTTGCTTAAGTAATACACTACTTTAAAGCAACAGATTAGAAGACACATTTTTATCAAAACTTTTTTAAAAAATACTCTAGAAAGAATACTCCATTGATGGAATATATAAAAATCTTGCCATTTTTTCCTTGATTTAGGTGGTGTAAATTTTAGTGTGTTTTACACTAAAGAATAGGTGTAAATTGTAACATTCAGGTGAGATGAGAGAATTCTGATCTCTCTATGATACTACCTCTGCTTTCAGACAACTAGACAGGCATCTAAGTATACTTCATCTGTCAGCAAGAGCTATTTCAAAACTATCTACTAACAATCTGCTGAGCATTACAGACTGTAGCACTCACCAACAGATTTAAATTTGTAAAATCTCATCAAAGCATTTATGCATTTGAACTAACCCAGTTCATTCTGACCAAGAAACAGTTTGTTATGATTATGTTGATTGCTTATTTGGTATTCTATGATTATCACTGAGTGTTCTATATTGTGATTTATGATGATTGTGATCATGATTTATCACTTGTTGCTTGTATGTACATTGAGAGCTTATGCACTGGAGACAAATTCCTTGTGCGTCCAATCACACTTGGCCAATAAAAATTCTATTCTACTCTAAAAAAACAAAAACAAAAAACAAATCATATTCCAGCGAGGCTGTAAACAACTCTTAAATATATTTAGTATTTGAAAAAATTGCACTTTATTTTGCATATTTCAAATTCCTTTCCTTTTTATTTTCCTTTAGCAAGCACTATAGACCAGGGGCTCGTTATCTTAGATCATAATCCATTACTTGTGATGACATTAGCTGTGGCCCACTGTAATTTACAAGGTACAGTAATACATTCATTAGATATCAAAATGCCAAAATATTCTGTCACCTCACATGGATTGGCTAGGTTTATGGACTGGATAATGTTCCATGTATTCACCATCCAATCTAAGCATTGAATTTTGTCAGTACAGAGAAAAGAAGACTTATCTACACTGTAAAGCAAGCCAGAATAGAGCAGTGGTTGTCATAAAGCTTCTACAATAAGAATTTTATTTCTTTTGCTTTTCTTATTCCTGTAAAGGAACATATTTGTAGCAAAAGGCTGTCCAGAAAATGATTTAGGTCAGAATATGATCAACAATTCTTTTTTTCTCCCTCCAATTTTCTCAAATAGTTTTCTCTAATTCTCCCTCCTTCATTTCCAATCTATACATGTTCTTTTTTTAATTGAGTTGAGTAGAAAAGGTGGAATATACAAATGGAACAGTTATAAACTTATATTACACTGTCAGCAATTATATTCTCTCTCTTTCTGTGTCTCTCGACACACACACAACCCTATCATTGGTGCATCTGAGTAGAGCTCAACAGTAGCCAGTATTCAATTTCATTCCATTTAAATTTTCCTCCACCATCATTCATGTCATTATCCCTGATGTATCAGCTCTCTTAAAAACCAGAAATAAATGCAAATTTCTTCATTCAACTAGGTTCTCTATATTTGTACCATTTTTAATGTAAAAGACTTCTACTCCTCTTTTCCCAAATACGAGTAAGTGTAAATTTGACTTGTGGCCCTTGATTGATCCAGACATTTTTACTGCATTTT